CTGGAACTTCACATTTATAATATAGTGTTTCACAAGCACTAGGCAAGAATACCCATTTTCTCGATCTAAGAATGCACTGCTGTTGGCACATTCTGAGGTCTTTGAGAAAATATGGACGACAAACAATAATACAACAAAACCACAAAGACTGGTTTCTGAATACTGGATTCCTAATCATTCCTTCTATTTTTAAATGGAGATTAAAAAGAGGCATCGAGAGCACAGGAAAAAAAACTATTATAGGGAAACTAATACTGAAACTTAAAAATTACAAAATTGATGAAATTGGTTTGTACCTTTGCCTCTTTTTTCTCCATACACGACCTTGCCGTCAAACTCGTTACTTTCCACCCTCAAGTCTGAAGAGACCACAGGGATAGTTTCACCCAGGTGATCTTCTACGTCTGCAAGATACTAAGTAAATAAAAACAGAAATGTTTGGGTGTTTTTTCACAACTTAGACAACTGAACTCGGTGTCATTTAAATTTAAAAATTACAAGCATATATGTTAAGTAGAGTTGCTTGTTTGTACTCTCCTCTAATACAGTGAAACCTGTCTATAACGGTCACGCTTTGGAAATGGCCAAGTGACCGTTATAGACAGGTGACCATTATAAAAAGGTTTTCCTTAAACACAAAGTTTCGCTTCGAATAGACATTTAATATTTACTGTTCGTTTACTATTAAAACATACTACAAACTGCATGTTTTGATCTACGTTATAGTAGCTTTTATCGTGTGATAACAATGCGGAAATGTCAATCAATCGTGTAAACAGTATTAATACATGCATGATGACACGCTACAATTGAATAAAGATTTGTTATGATTTTCTAATGCATAGGTCGTATAGCGACCGTTACATAGAGGTAAAAAAAACAATGAAGCTGTTTATTCCGGATGTCAAAAGGGTGACTATGCAGGTGTAAAATTTACAGTGAATGTATGGCAAGATTTTCGGGGAATTGCTGAGTTATGTACGGGGTGACCGCTATATACAGGTCCGTTTATAAACAGGTTTGACTGTAATAAGGCTTTAGTTAACGAAAGTTGACTTTCAGCCAGACGGGTCAGGTTTACGAAGTACTTTCTCTGGTGCTTTGAGAGCAGCTCATTCAACTATTCACTTCAAGTAGAATAAATGCTGAAAATATTGAGTTAGGGATGAGGATCACTTTAAACCAACAGCTAGATGCAAGGTCCTGAAATTTCCTTACTATATTTTCTGTAAAACAGACCTCTATTAAGCGGACACTCAATTACACGGGCAGTTAGTTGTGAAGTTCCGAATCTTATCATATTTACTGTAAAACAAACTTCCATTCCGTGGACACCCTTTATGATTAAGGTGGCTGCCTACTTTTGAACGTTCGAATTGAGCCCACGATGAGCGCGCGCTCAAAAACCGCTGAAAAATCTACAAGATTTTATTGAAGAACCATACGTGTTTTGAGCTT